TAAACTTCCTTCATATTCCTAACATATATGAAGGTGTCATGTTAGTCTTATGCACACCCCTTCAAGTAAAGTGTTACCTTCTTGGGAATGAAATGCACTGTTCGCAATAAAATCTAATAAGAATTTGTTTTTTTGTTCAGATACCTGATGATGAAAGACTGCTGGCATGCGGTTCCCACGCATAGACCAACTTTTAAACAGCTGGTAGAAGACCTAGATCGCACCCTGTCCATGATGTCCAATCAGGTAAGCTACTTAAAGGGTTAGTTCACCCAAAAATGAAAATTCTGTCAGTATTTACTCACCCTCATGTTGTTCCAACCCCGTAAGACCTTCGTTCATCTTCGGGAACACAAATTAAGATATTTAAGATATTAAGATCGCTCCTGCATACAGTCCATAGGCTTCTTGAGGGACTGGCTCTTGCTGTCCCCGAAAAGTCATTAAAGACATCGTTAAAATAGTCCAAGTGACTACAGGGGCTCAATCTTTAGTTTATCAAACGACGAGAACACTTTTGTGCGCAAAAAAAACAACAAAAATAATTACTTTATTTCAACTATTCACTTCCTTCTCCATGGGCCTGTAGTCAGTTAACGTAGTGTGATTGCGTAGAGCTACGTCACACGTAGGCTCACTATTGGCCGACGCTGGTCATGTGTGTGTGATGCGTGTGACGTACAATAACAGAAGCTTACGCTATTAAACTAGTAACCTGACTCGCGCAGAGGGAGAAATAAACGAATAGTTGAAATAAAGTCGTTATTTTTGTTGTTTTTTTGCGCACAAAAGTGTTCTCGTCGTTTGATAAACTTAAGATTGAGCCCCTGTAGTCACTTGGAGTATTTTAACGATGTCTTTAATGACTTTTCGGGGACAGCAAGAGCCAGTCCCTCAAGAAGCCTACGGACTGTATACAGGAGCGATCTTAATATCTTAAATATCTTAATTTGTGTTCCGAAGATGAACGAATGTCTTACGGGGTTGGAACAACATAAGGGTGAGTAAATACTGACAGAATTTTCATTTTTGGGTGAACTAACCCTTTAAAGTCAGCATCCTACTCAAAATTTACCCTCTCAAGTAACTGATTTTAAAATACGGCAACTTTAAGGCTTAAATGGATGCAGCATCCTACACGTGCAAATTTGATATGACACGTCACACTTCTCATTCCAGTGCATTATGGGAATTACTTATTAACGTATGCGTTTCCCTTCAGGAGTATCTGGACCTCTGTGTGCCCCTGGAGCCTATGTACTCTCAGGTCATCCTAAACGAACGAAGTTCCACCTGCTCCTCCGAGCCGGACTCTGTCTTCTTGAGAGAGTCTGAACCTGAAGAGCCATGCATCCCCCCAATAGTTCCCCCACAACAAACTGTTCGGTCCTTCAAAAAACGCTGACAGTAGGGAACACCTGGACCTCAAATTTCACAGAGGATCTCTTTATTTCTCTGCTTCCTTTGACTCATAAACTCTGCAGGCTCAGAGACTGAGGAGTTCAGCCTGGGCCGTCCTAGCACAGAAACGCAAGCGGGAGGAACCGACTCTCAAAATCAAGACTGATCAAAACAGAGAGGCTTGTGTGGGGAACTAGCAAACATTTTGTCCTTCAGAGGGATTGATCCTCACAAATAAGATGTTCAAAAAGCAACGAAGATGCTTTTCTTTTGAAAGAAAAGTAATTGAAGTGTTACCCATTAGAGTATGCTGGCTATGTAAATGTGGTTCAATTGTACAAATATGGAATTATATGAACACTATTGTTTTATATTACTATTATAATAATTATTATTTTTGTATGAGCTTATTATCCTTTTTTTTTTTTCAAGAAACCTGATCTGCAACAACGTGTCCTAACCAGCTGCATTTTGTCACTTGATTCTATTTCTATTCTATAGCCCCGCCCACAATTAAATCTCATTGGTCCAAAATCATCCAACAAATAACATAATAATTTAACAGAAGTGTGTCATTTGTGACTCAACTTACGCCATTTGTAAGTTCAGGTTCCCTGAAAAATGTTATCCGACCAGCTCGACATTTTGATGTATTGACCAAAAGCTTGAATTGGGGGCGGGACTATGTTTGTTTGACCAATGGCAGAAGAAATGAATGTTTAGGAAACCTGTTTGAAAATAGTTATTTGATGGAGAAGGAGAAATTACACACTTAATCTTTAAACTTCAAATATGTTCCGACTGGCTGTGGTTGCCTGGAAAAATTCAATGTGGAAAAAATGAACATGGTTAAAAATGTAATGTTTTGCCTAGTTAGAAAATGGTGTCACAGATTTATTG